CGCAAGCCTCGGCAGGTGCGCCCTGGCTCTGTAATTTCTGAAGATTGTTGTATGTAGCTCGGAAGGTCGGTAAGTTTGGCCACCCCTGGCATAAGCTCTTTACTCAGAATTGCAAGTGAACAGAGTGGAAGGAGCTCTCTGCCCCCATCTGTTGGTGAAATGAGAGAAGTACAGCTACATTTGCTTAAGCTTTCCACCAAGAACTCCTCCAGTGACACTTTGGGAAGTCAGCATCCCTACAAACTCAGAATTGGCTGGGATAGGTGGTGATGCCTCAGGTTAGGACCAGACAGCACTTCCCAAGAGACCGGAGGCAGGCTTGTCTGAGTGCCCCTGAGGCCACACTACCCACTGACACAAACCCACAAATAGGGGTTAGTGGATAGAGAAGGAGAAAGTGATGTAGTAAAGGATGTTTACCTACTGGTTATTCATTACTGGTGGCTGGGGAGCTGGTATTGGGCTACTGGCAGAGTTACTGGGGGGAGGGTTTTTATTTATCATTCATGTAAATATATTGTTGCTGTGTATCATTGGGTGATTGGCCCTTGTACATGAGGTATGTCCTGCTCCCTTGTGTCAGCACAGGGGCTCCCAGGTTACCTATTAAGAGGGCAGGGCAGCACCTGGGGTTATAAAGGATCAGGGAGAATCAGCCAGGGAACAGGTTCCTGGAGGAAGGCTGGAGAGCAGCAGAAACATTTGCCAGATGGTCTCCCTAAACGGAGAGCCAGGGCCAGAGGTCTGAAGGCAGGGGAGGAGCTTTCCCGCTGACATCTCAATGCCGAAGAGCTGGGGCCAAGGGCCAGAGAGCTGAAGGCAAGGGAGCAGCGGAAGGGCTTACGTGCCAACATCTGCGCACTGGCAAGCGGGAAAAGGCTAACGTTGCAGGCGAGTGATGGATGCTCTTCTAGTGAGGGTGAGCACCTCCTAGCAGAGAGGCTGCAGGGTTCCCACAGGGGAGAGCAGGGCTGCACTCTGGCTGGAAGGGCTGAGGTGGCTGTCCTGGCAAAAGGATGGGAGAGGACCGAAGAAGACACCAGAGCACGGTATGTGCTATCTTGGTGGATTATAGGCCATGGGATTTTAAAGACTGTGCACTGGGTGTGATAAATGGACTATGTTTTGGGACACTTGTTATGGATTATTTGCAGCTTGTTTTCATTATAAACCGCCCCCAAGGATGGGTATTATTGAGATTGGGGAGCCTGTGGTGGAGTCCTTAGAGACCCAACAAAGGAAATGAGACCTTAAGTCTCGAGTTAAGGTGCCCAGCCACAAGGGGTGCTTGGAGATGAGGGTGAAATCGTTCACACTGTTTTCCCCTAACGTTTTCCTTGTTTCATATCCTGGCCCACTGCCCGCAGTGGAGAATGGTTGCCTATTGAAGATACCTAGGGAAGGTATTTAGTGATCCCAGAAACTCCGGGTGGGGCCTTGAGCCAATGGTTCTTGCCAGTTTGAAGAAGGACTCCTAGCTTTTTGAACCCAATGCTTGTTGCTGGTGACAACGCCCTGGCAGATGGGTTACACCCTAAAGAAAGAGAATTCCCAATAGCAGGTAGTTGTGAGAGGACTGCACTTCCTTACACTGAATGATGTACACTCAAGATGGGCAGTTCCTTGTGCACCCAACTTCAAAGTCAAAGTTTGGAGAGATTCTGCAGGACACTTAATGCCCTTCGCTGATTAGAGCTTTTGTCTAGTAGGTGGAGAAGGGTGACAGCAAATAAAATTAACAAAGAGAAAATGTACTCAGCTGTCTGTTATTTTTCTGGAAACCTGAGCAATAAGGTTTTGATTCAGCAGTCCTATCTTATTAGCAAAGCACTTTAAGACCATGCTTATCTTCAGACGCATGCTGAAGTCCCATCAGCTTCAATGAGACTTAAGTATATCTTTAAAATTAAACAGGGGCTTAAGTGCTTTGCTGGATAAGATGGACCTAAGAACACTGGCTAATGCTTTGCTGAATTGGAATTGACAGCTGCTGTAAGTTCGAGCTCTGACTTCAGATATAAAGCAATGTACCTTCATGACTTCACATGTAAACTGTTATAACTCTGACTCTGGCCAAGCTACGGTGGTTTTTACTGACTGAGGATCTGTCTCTAACATGGTCAGATATCAGTGATTTTGCTTTTAATTTAGGTGTTAGAAATTCTGAACGGGGAATGAAAATCTGTCCCTTCCATTCCTCCGCCAGCCTATTGTACAATACAAAGGGGACACTCAACAAAACTAAAGGGTGGGACATTTGGAACCAACTACACAGCATATAGTCCCTGGGATTCACTGCTGCAGCAGTGCATTGAGACAAATTATGGGGGCCTGATTTTCCATTGCTGGGCACCTTCTGTAGCTGTTTACACCTGTTTAAAGTGCCTGCACAATGCTCCAAACTCAGCTGACTGTGCTTTGCATCCATCTTCCACAGGAGTCAGTGACTGCCCAAGGAGGACCGGGCCCCCGGATCTGGATTTCTGAAAGTGATGGATAATTTATCTCACATTTCAGGAACAATCACCTGCAGGGACCAGAAAGAGATTCCCCACATTGCGCCGTGCAGTACAGCACAGTGCTGCCTGGTGGGATCACTACTGAGGATGTCTGCTCTGAAGCATTGGGTACTGTCCGTTTCTGAAGGCAGCAGACTGCACCAGGCTAACCAATGAGTTGATCTGTTATGACAACCCCTAGGCCAGTTGTACTGCAGTAACTGTATCTGTAAAGTTAAAGTGATACAATTTCAATGTGTTGACAAGCCCTTGTGAATAGATGAATAGATATTGCTCCTACTTCATTGGGCAGTAGAGGGAGCAACTTTCCTATAAATCAGAGAAGGAACTGGTATATACCAACAGAGCTTCAAGAGTATGTAGTCTTGTAGCAGTGCGACTCCCAGGATGTTAGACAGACAAGGTGGGTGAGGCAATATCTTTTATTGGACCAACTTCTGTTGCTTCAAGAGGGCTTTCTATTTATTTGACCTCCCACTCAATGTAGTTTGGGGCAGAGAGTCAGTTACTAACTGCATTTTACAGAGAAGTCTTGGATTACAATGATTTTGTTCTTCCTTGTGTCAAATGGGTGTTAAATGAACAGACATGCAGGATTCTGCATCCACCACTATTGGTATGTCTACACTTTGAGCTGGGGGAGGGGGCCATGCCCAGTTTGAAGAGACATATCCAGGCTGACTCCGATTGAGCTACCTCACTAAAAATAGTGCAGCCGTGGCAGTACAAGCAGTGAGAGGGACTAGCTGCCCCAAGTGTGTCCCTAGAGTCTCAGGTGGGATCTTAGCAGCGGCACGAGGAGTGGGAGGGACTAGCTGCCCCAAGATCCCCCTGAGACTCTAGGGACGCACGTGGGGCAGCTAGTCCTCTCACTCCTCGTGCCGCTGCCGTTACTTTATTATTAGTGCACTACCTCGATCAGAGCTAGCGGGAGTATGTCTCCAAGCTGGGCATAACCCTTCCAGCTCGAAGTGGTAGACATAACCTAAGGGTGAAACTCATCCCAGTACAGTGAAGATCATCCTTAAAGCTAGTGGTTATTAGTATTATTAATTATTTGTATTATAGTGCCCAGGAGCCCTGCTCTTAGACCAGAAATCCATTGTGCCAGGTGCTGTACAAACACAGAACAATAGTCAATACATTCTCGGACAGTTTATTATGACTGTATTTAATATTCCTGTAGCATCCTGTTGTGTCAGGCATTGAACACACACATATGAAGGCCTGGTCCTGCCCCAGAGACCTGACAGTCTAGGGTCCTGATCCTGCAAACAGTTTAAAATGATTAACTTCACTAACATGACTTCAGTGGGATTATTTATGCGCTTAAAGGTAAGTAGGTGTGATTTGAAAACAAAAAAGCTAAAGGAAGTGCCATCTGCTCTTCAGCCAGCAATCACTGGCGGATTTGGCAGGGGTAGATCCTAAGGAGGGGTGTGAAGGAGAAGAAGAGACTGACCGCCTTTTCTTTTTGTAACCACTCATTTGTTAGCTGTTTATCACTAGTGCAGCCTTTTAATTGCTAGAGTTCCAGCAGGCTCTCTGGTTCTCATTTTGTTTCAAGTGGTTTGCCTGTCCCACCAAATGATCAACCAACCTCAGTATTTGCTGCAACAATGTAAAGTGATCTCCCTGAAGTAAGCTAGTGGGAAATCTAAATTTCCTTAAACTAGCTGCAATTTGAGTACACTACCATTAGATGGGGTGGAGGAGGACTAGATAACTGACATTTCTCTTGTGATTTATGTTCTCAAATCTTTCCCATAGTCAGGAAAATCTCCCTTTCATTTCAATGAATTTCTTTTTTGTGTATAGTAAAATACATCCAGATTTCAAAGGTAATCTACCCACTCCCAGAAAGTAACATGCTTCCCTAGATAGGTTTAATCTCCTAAAGAGCAGAATAAACAAATGCCCCATCCATCATTCCTGGGCGTTAGTCGTACTGGAGATCACAGAAATCAATGAGGCGGGCAGTACACACACAGCAATTCACATGAAACAGAGGCATGTTGCCAGATGCTCCAAAAGAAACAAGAACTTTTCCGTATAGAAAGTGTGGTAACTAGTTGGGAAAGCTTTTTAGTTCCACATCTCTAGGGGACCCTTACAGCCAAGAGAGAGGAAAATAAAAGCAATTAAACCCCACAAAAACCTGCCGACTGTATCCTTTTGCATTCATCAAACTTAATTCGATTTAAGGTTCCAAATGCAAATCTCATGGTAAAATTCAGAATTAGTCAAAATGACGCTATAAAATATATTTACTCTAAAATCCTCGGCAGGGTTAAAATTCTTGTTTCATGGACACACATCTTGATAAGTGGCACAGGTTTTCCAAGAAAGAGAAGAAACATTGTAAATGAGAAGTCTACTGGCCAGTTCTTAAAATGCATTTGATTGGTTGTATTTATTCAGCTGAAAACCAGCAGCCAATGGACTCTTCTGTTCTTACGTTTCTGAAGCAATGGATTGCGCTCGGTTGATCTGGGCACTGGCAAGTCGAAGCTTCCGGGTTCACAGGCTGGCTTCCCCCAGGCTGCGGAAAGAATAGAGCTCATTCATCAACTACGGCAGGAGTTCTTATTTCCTGGGCAGGGAGTCCCTCCGTTTCAGTGCCATACACAGATACAAGGTAAATTTCTTTGTATTGCTACACTCTTTGTTTTGGTGTTTATCATATGCTAACTTGTGCCTGGTAGAGCTTGAAAGGTGGAGAAGTTTTTATCTCTGTGAAAGAAATGCACGATTTGGGGTTGGAAAACAATGGCCTGAAAATGTTTTTGTCCCGTGGGCTACACAAGGGCAAGTGATGATGGCTCAGCGATAACTTTTACCTCCTATAAATTGTTATAATTCATTGGCTCTCTGTCCTTTACTCTGTGTCCTGAAGCATTTCTCTTTTAATGTCCTTGTGGTTTTGATGATAAAGGCATGAAGAACTGAAATAAATTGAAATCCTTTAGAGACAGAATGGTAGTTTCTATTCTATAATATTCAGGTGCTGATACCAATCCCATCGTACCTGCGCCTAGAGGTCTTAAACTCCCATCCTCTTTAATGTATTCAGCTGCGCCCTGTCCCCATGACAGATTCAGATGCTGGAATCTAGAAGCTGGACTTTCAAACTTTGTAAAAAGGTGTTACTGACAAGTTTCCTGACAACCTCTACTACACACAATCTTTTGTGGACATTGTTTATAATGATATCAATCCTTTTCTCTCTGCCAGGCTGAATGCCATAGCACACCAGTGGGTTGCAGAATAGCTGACTTTAACTTTAAAGTCAAATACACCTCTACCCCGATATAACGCTGTCCTCGGGAGCCAAAAAATCTTACCGTGTTATAGGTGAAACCGCGTTATATCGAACTTGCTTTGATCCACCAGAGTGTGCAGCCCCGCCCTCCCGGAGCACTGCTTTACCTCGTTATATCCAAATTCGTGTTATATCGGGTCGCATTATATCGGGGTAGAGGCATATTGTCCAGAGAAATCTGATGTGGAGGCAAATAACCTACCCAGAAGTCCCCTTATGCAAAAATGTGACAGAATGTATTGAAGAGACAAGCAAAGATGTTTTGATTAATGCTGTCTTATAGTGTATGGATGTATACAGAGACGGCAAGGTACTTTGGTTGGCAGCTATTGCTAGCAGGCTTTTGGCAGCAGGAGACTTCTCCAGGGGCATTAAACCCATCACAATGCCTCTTCCACAAGAAGACATTTTGGGCAGCCCAGATGGAAAATCCGGCTATTGCTAAATTTGTTCATTATTAGTTATAGGGAGAAAAGCCTAATAACCAAGATAACAGGGGAGGATACACAGTATCTATTTCTGTATCTTATCCTGCATTCTATCCAAGACGGATGTAAAAATCAGTAAATGAAGTGATATTGCTTTCTGATATCGAGATTGTTCTGTATCCAAGGTTTTATCATTTTGCATAATGTACAAGTTTTTTTTATTCAGCAGATTTTTTTTCTCAATAGCTTGTGATATGCCCAGTGGCGTTGCACTATGTGGTTATACAATTGATCATATAGGCAGTGTTATTTCATAAGATATGAATATCTTTGGGACTATAAACGGTTCAGACTTGGCTATCCTGTCAGATTGCAGAACTCAGCTGCCACAGAGAATTCCTGCTTGACTTGCACTCACCTGGTATTTGGGGGACCCAGGTTCCCATCCCTGGTCTTAAACTAGGCAGAACAGAGACCTGAACTGGGGTCTCCCATGTGTGTGCCCAAACGGCCAGGCTACACAGTAGTTCTTACGCTCTCTGTGTGGCCCAATGAATGTTAAATTGCTTATACACAGTGGAACAGCTTCAACAAGACCGAATGAAATTTGAAAGGTGGTTCTCATTTTAGAGGGTCTTAAGTGCCCCCATTTTTAGTTTTTACAAAAATGTTTTTGAAGTTTTAATTTATTTTTCCTGGTATTTTTGTCACTTTCATTTTTGGGGGTTCCCCCCCTTTCTTTTCTCTTTCTTCCCCACCCCACAGTTATTTCAGAGGGGAAAGAGACAATTTTCAAAAAATGAGTGAGGAGAAAAAAAAAGAACAAACAAATTGTAAACGGTATTTTAAAATAGCAAAAAAAAAGGAAGTGTTACGTTTTGCAATGTTTAAGTGACTGTTTTTGGACAAATAGTCAATTTTAAAAAGGTTATTTTTTACTAAAAAATTTTTGAAAAATCTTGACCTGCTATAAACATAGGCCCCGATAATCAGCTGGTGCGAATCAGCATAGGTCATTTCCCTTCTGATTTCCAGCATTAGATGATTTGGCCCACGTCGTATTTCCTCCCACAAACCCCTGTTACGCTTTTACATTTGCCACCTATACCCAAGACCAAGACACTTGAAAAATAAAGTTCACTGATCCAAACTGAACATGAAGTATCTTTGCCATTAGCTGATTCCACGGGTTAGAACTTCAGTACCTAATGTGACTAATATTTAATTGGTTATAGCATTGATCCTACAAGAAGTATTATAATTACATAGTCAGTGGAGTTTGATCTTATGGCTAATGTAACAAAGTGAATTTGCTTAATCCCCCTAGGTGCCAGTTTGCTGGAACATGGCTGTGCATTTGTTAGATACACAGTATGATGCAGATTCCTATCAGAAATACAGATTCCCTCCCTCTGAAAATCTCCAAAGTGTCATCTTCTCCTACCTGGAAGAAAAGGTAAGTGACACAGTCAGGCCCTAGGCTGAGAATACTTGTTATTAATTCTACTGTGGAGAAGACCTATAGAATGCAATGGGAGTGAAACCAATAGGATACTACAGAAATTACTCTAATTACCTGGAGAATCAGAGCCTTTACTCTGTGACTAGGACTTGGTATGTGTATAGGGGTGTAAAGAGGACTAAGATTTCGCTCTTCATAAGAATTTGTGCTCTGCTTGCTGAGACGTGGCTGTTCTCTCCTCAGAAAGTAGACCCCGTTCGGCTGGCAGTGGATGTCGGCTGCGGGTCGGGACAAAGCACTCACGTACTCGCCGCTCATTTTGAGAAGGTGGTTGGAACAGACATCAGTGAAGCTCAAATAGAGGCAGCCAAACAAGCTGCCTCCTTCCCAAATGTTACTTACCAGTAAGTGTTCCATAAAAGGATGCTTTCCCTTTGGGTGTGTCCAGAGTGCAGACCTTTGCACAAAGCAAGCACTTCGTGAACAGGACAGATACAGGCCAGCATTTTCAAACTAGGCCAGTCATTTTTAGGTGCCTGATTTCAAGCATATTTGGTCTGCTTTTTCACAAAGTACCCAGAACTCAGAACTCCATCTGAAGCTGGCAGGAACTGCAGGTACTCAGCTTCTGAAAATCAGGCCGCTTCTAATTAAATGCCTAAATATGGATTTTGGAGCTCCAATTTTGAAAACTTGGGCTGACGTTCTTAGCCAAATCAATCTTCAGTTCCAAGAGAACAAAAAAGTTAGACTTTTCAATGTCAGATTTTCAACAACACCACATTTCCTCTCAGCAGAGTCCACACGTGACAAGTTGCATGCATGTCAGGCCCCAGTAGAGACTCCTTCTTCCCAGTTGAAATATCTTCCCTGTTTCCCTTTATAGTGTGTGCCCTGCAGAGGAGCTGCCATTTGAGGATGGTTCTGTGGACCTCATTACTGCTTTTACAGCTGCCCACTGGTTTGATATGCCGAGGTTCATGAAAGAAGTGGATCGAGTTCTCAAGCCACATGGCTGTGTGGCCCTTAGCACCTACACTACAGACTTCAGTATGCACTATAAAGACTGCTCGGAGAGGCTTACAGAAATCTTCACTGAGGTGGGAGAAGAAAACAATCCTTCTTTTTTTTTTTTTTTTTTTTTAAGGCATGAAGTTTATAATATATTTATAATATATTTTAATGCTGCTAGACACTTTCCACTATAAGACCCTGTTTTCAGCTGCTTATAACTTTGCCAAACCTTAAGCATTTGGGCTGAAATTTTCCTTTCTGCCTGTTTGCCACAGGCAGGATTATTTTTTGTAAGTTTCCGCAAAAACAGTCAGCCATTCCCAAAAACAGAAAGAGAATAATAGGTGCCTTTGCCCATTTAAATAAATATATATTCTTATACCCATTGTATTGAGAAGGTCTAGTTCCTCCCCGCTCTGGAGCAGAGCTTGGAATTTGCAGAGTGAGGCAACTTCCATTACATAAAACCCATTCCCAGACAAAAACTGCCCTCACATTGAGGTCTGGCTCAGGGTACATATGAATAACTTGGGATAAAATACATTAGTGGCGGTTGTAATTATCCCCGAATGAAGTATTACAAACCCAGGACATTCAGAGTTATTGTTAGACTTACCTTCCTTAAGGTAAGGAAATGACTCAGGCAATGTACCCAAAAAATATTAATTCTGTCCTCTAGTGATACCATGTAATACCCATAGAATTTTGACTAAGGCATTATAATACTATGGTCTCTTTAGATTAGACTGATTGTAAAGACATGTTATATTTCTGTCTTCCCCCGCCTCCGTAGTGTCACTCTGTTAGGTGGCCATTTTGAGAAGGGTATCTCTATCTCCCATTGCTCTCAATGAGAGCAAGGCTGCAGGAAGGCTGAACAAAAATGGCTGCTGTCTCCATTCACTTGGTTGTCACAATATTCCTATATGTGTGGGCAGTGATCATTTTGATAGAGGGCATCTTAACCGAGGTCAGCCTTATGGCCTAAGTCCCAGTAAGAACAATGGAAGAGGTTGCCAGCAGATCGAGGGACGTGATCGTTCCCCTTTATTCGACATTGGTGAGGCCTCATCTGGAATACTGTGTCCAGTTTTGGGCCCCACACTACAAGAAGGATGTGGAAAAATTGGAAAGAGTCCAGCGGAGGGCAACAAAAATGATTAGGGGTCTGGAGCACATGACTTATGAGGAGTGGCTGAGGGAACTGGGATTGTTTAGTCTCCAGAAGAGAAGAATGAGCGGGGATTTGATAGCTGCTTTTAACTACCTGAAGGGGGGTTCCAAAGAGGATGGCGCTTGGTTGTTCGCAGTGGT